CCTGCATAATATAATACGACGACGACAAAATATATAACAATAATAAATAAAATAAAAACACCGCTGCGGCCGTGATGTGGCCGATCCGAGTCGTTTACCCAAACGGATTTCCATCGTAACGTTTATTTTAACGTATATTTTAGTGTATCGCGACGGTGTAATAACTATATTGTAATTATTGTTTTAATGCGATGTTTAACTCGCGTGTCTTATAATTATTTATGACGCATACCTACACGCGGTGTGCCGCCGGCGGTATTTCTGTCGATATATTATTGTACACGAAAGTCGCAAATATTGTGTTTAGACAGCGCGGCGCAGCAGGAACCGCGAATTTTTTTATTTTATTTTTGCGATTGACGAACATTCGCGTTGTAATGCGTATACGGTAAAAATATACTGACTTCGAGACGACGACGACAACGACGACGCGCGCGCGTGTTTATTATTAAACAAATAAAATATATATAATAAATAGGGGTCAACGATCGCGCTTTTTTATGAAGATAAACGTGGACACGACCCGTACGCGCACACCGCACACTCGTGCGTAGTTGTATAGGTACACATTAGTATAGTACTTGCGTGTATTTGTGAATTGTGTTTTTGGTCCAGGTTTTCGCCTTCTATCTATTATGATGTACAAACGATCGCACGAGATCACCATTGACGTGCTCGTGTTACAATATTATCATTGTCGGACGCCGTTAGAAATTTAAATCAAATCAACATGACAACATTCGTTCGTATACATTAATCATCTCGGAAGCGAATTTACGGAATCTAGTCTACACTTAAATGGTGTATCGTATTGTTGGCCGTAGGTACGTACACCCTACTCTGCAGCGGTAAATTGCGATAATAATAATAGTCAGTCGTTTCACGTTTAATTTCAGCCGATCGTAAAGTCCACGCATATACATTTATTTTTTGCATATTTTTATTAATATTTTACGTTTCGTTAGAGCTGTTATTCTGTCGTTATTACGAAATGCATTCGAGTCGTACTACGTTAATTGTGTTGGTTTTTGTTTAAAGAATTATTTTTATTATACAAACGAATATAATATACTATTAAGTATACACAAGTATCAAAAATGCTTTCCTAACCGTACATATTCATTAGAGCATTTTCGAGTTTGTCGAACCATCTGTAACACTTACTGACTATTTTTCTTTAAGAATACAAACGAAAAAAACAAACTCGTCTCACGAAATGCAATCTTATATTACAGAAGACACATCGAAATACTGAATAATGCAGAACGGATTAAACTTTAAATGTAGGTAGTTACTAACGTAACCAGCTTTGAAATTGAATTAATTTAAAATTTATATTTTTTACAAGAATATAATATGCATTATTTTTATATTACAAATATATGACGTATAATCTATCTATATTATATTATACTTTCGTTTTTCATGTAGATATAGTTTGTAAATGTTTCCTTTAAATTTTAAACTTTATTCTTTTAATTGTTTACCGAATAAATTATATACTCAATGATTATACATATACATTGGTCTTAGGAAAAGTTATAAATAAAGTTCATGCGGTACCGGGTATACTGCTTGGTTTCTTTACATTTAACATACATAAATTGTAGAAAGTTCCATTACGAGTATATATTATCTTACGTAGTAATACGAGTTTCAAGATTTGCAATGAATTTAAAACAGTAGAATTAAAAAAAATACATACTCGTTATCAATTATTGCAACAAAAAATTGCGATTTTCCATCTATATAAAATAATTTAATATAAAGGACGTTGACCGATTAAAACGTTTCTCGTGAAAATCGCGTAGATTATCATGAATAAAAAAAAAAAAACAGAGAAATAGAGTCGACCGCGGTGATTATACACCTATATATAATTATTCATTTTTATCGAACTATATTTTTATCTCGGTCTCGTTTTCCGGAAATTGTATTTTTTTTGCCGTGGCAAACAATAGTAGCTCTCACGGTCCGAACGGAATGTCCCCGTGCCCAGACATAATCGCGATATATATTCACACACACACACACACACACACACACACGCATATTTGCAAACTCCAAAACGGATTTATCAAAAACGTTATGATATGTACATAAAAAAAAAAATTCGATGGTTAGCAAAAATATAATACTAGCCAGCCGACTACGCGGGTAGTCGATAAAACGTATATAAACATTTATAATAATAATAATAATAATAATAATAATAATAATACAGTTCGCACGGCCTACATCCGCCCAAGTGTTGCTGATGGTCTTTTATCAGTGGACCAATGACTAAATAGTTTTGAAATATTTTTTCCTCCTATCGCATTTTAACGGGCACACACCACTCACGTACTACGCTATTTTAATACAGTGCGTTCGCTGTTCGCGGTTAGAACACCTTGCAGCGCTCGCCATACAATATGATCAAGAAACTACTCGCGGACTGTTTGTAAGTTGATTCTTTTATTTTTTGTTTGTCAATTATTATTATCAAGCTTTACGATTTATACAGTTGCTAGTTGGGAATTTACAAATATCTCTAATCGTTATCATATCTTCGTGCTTATCTATATTAATATTTATATAATCTAAAAAAAAAATTATCGTCAGTGTTGTAAATGAAAAAAAATTTGTATTCATTCAGCTGTAGAAAGTGTGTTTATATATTATGTGGCAAACCTTAATTATAATATTATGAGCTTTCTGCAAGTGACCTTTAACCTCTTCCACCCAATGTATTTGTTATATAGCACCTCCGGCTCTGAATATATTATTTATTTGTATGTGTTATAATCACAAGTAAACTTAAATCGATCATCAGTTAAAAATTAAATTATGACTGCATTTTTTTTTCAACTATACGAGATATTGTGTTATTATTATTTTATTATATTCGTGCAGTGTATATATTAAATCTATTATAGTGCAGCGCGTACTAGCTATACGTCCCGATGAAGTTTAACCGGTCTTGTCAGCAGGTCATCTGAAACGAAGAGAAATAGAAAGTGGTGTAATGTAAAACTCGCGGTCGTTTATTTATATATTATTATTATATACCTATAATATAGCTGCTTAAAGAAGCGGGTATATATGTATATGTGCTGTATGTATGTATTTCAGCTGCCAGTGCATATAAGTTATTGACTTCGTGTGACGCTTGCCAACTAGAAAAAAAATAATAATAATAAAACGGAAAACGATTAAAACGCATACATGATATAATAATTATACTTTGACTCATACACTCGCCTAGCCGTTACGATTGCAATCAATACATTTTTATATGCACTATATATCTATGTAGCTGCGACCGTGGACTATAATAATAGTAAACGGTCAGATTGTGCATAGTTGAGGAATGCGTGTTTTAATGCACTATTTAACTTTATACTATATACAGTACATGATACACTATACATATTAATTGATATTTAAATGTGTCAAGTTTTTTTTTTCAAAAGACTAGCTATAATAGTCGTCTTCGTTGGCAAATTACAGCAACTATATGACTGCGCAAATAAATGTGGTGTTGAAACGATGTTTTTAAACTTCAAAGGACGCGGTGTAAAATATGTACTTCGAAAAACACAATATTATAACAACTTATGATATTACGAGAGACATATTTATCTCAGACGTCTGTCGTAATAAAATGTATGCTTAATACGATAGACATCTACTATGCAGTTATAATATCTACAGATTAAGCCTACGCAGTCTAATAATCTACTGTACGCAGCATTTATAGCAATTTAATTCGTTAAGATTTAATTACCGACAACCTATAATAATATGTTGTAATTACAAATAAAAACTTGATGAGTAGTAACCATTTTATAATATAAATAAGTGTTTTTCATCGATCCTACTATATAATGTTGAAATACAGTGCATTGGGGTTAAATACAACTAAAAAAAAAAAAAAAACGTTCATAGATATACAACGATAAACGTAACGCAGAATAATTTAAACGACAGATAACATGTTAAAAAAAATACATACTCGTTATATATAATAATATCATGACGATTCACGAATATTAGGTTTTTATCGCCTTATTATTATTTTTGCCGTATTAATGGAATGGATTAGCGCCACGCTCACAATATTAAAACAACCATAGCAGTTCTAGCGCGTAATATATTTCAAAAATTTAAAAGAGTATTTTGAAATCAGATGAGGTTATTGTGAAGCTTTATCTCATTATACGATACAGTATAATATTAACTCCCGCGCAGTACTGTGCCGTTACGTTATAAACGTTGTTATATTATGCGCCCAACGAACTGAGAAGTAAATATGTAATAAATATTGTAAATTGTAGCTCGATCTGCTTTTTACATCACAAAATCACTGCAGACAGACAAAATATATGCGGTGAATAATAACAATAATTGTATTTATCGTCAAGTCAGTGGTGTATAAATTATTATTATATATGTATTTAATGTAGTGCGCACGACTGTATAACGGATAAAATAAAATATTACTGCTGCGCATTTGCTGCACTCGCATAATACATCACACGAACTGAATAATAAATAACAATAATAATAACAATAGTCGTAATTCGGGAATAAATGAAATTGCGTATGGTTTTTTAATCGGTGTTAACTAATGCTAAATGATTGCGAGACCCGAAAATTCGCAATGTCGAATCAAAATCGGTCCACACACATACACACACACATACAATATTTATTTGCGTACGATGTTTTCGTCTGGTAAATATATATAGCTGGTTCGTTGACATCTGCTGCAGCGTTATACATTACGTGGGTCGGTGAACTTATTGTAATAACATTTTTGTCTCTTGATCAAATAATCGAAATTAACCGAATAACGTCGTCGGTCGACAAAAACAGTAAAATTTAATAATATTTTAGAATCGTAGTACGCTGCAGCAATGCATTGAATTCATGCCGCTTAAACCATAAAGTTATTACATAAGTACAACTATAATATTATAGTATTATGATAATAATTATAAAATATACTATTACAGGTTGGAAAACGGGGTAAACGTACAAGAACCTCCAGGATGTATGCATCCGTTACCCGCACATCGGCCGATCGAGCTGACTTTCAGCAACCTGACGGTGACGTTAGACGACAAAAGACACGTGCTGAAGAACATCAGTGGAATTGTGAAACCAGGGCAAGTGTTAGCCGTAATGGGTCCTTCAGGTGAGTTCAATATCATACTCTGTTAAGTTCTATATAAACATACGAAATAGCTGGTACAATACATCAATAAAACGACGCGTTATATTTAGTTACAATAGTGACGTCCGCATAAATTATTAAATCTAAAAAAGGAATAGACACAAAATACCTACGCGAACATCTATGCCGTAAAAATTAAATACTCATTAAAGTTTAAACATTTTTAAGCCATAAAAATATAATACATATTAAAGAAGATATAAGTACTGTTAGTCATTATAAAGCATTACACATTTTTTTAACGAATAAATGATAAAAAAATAATGAGCTCCCTGAATGTAAATACACCTGGAGAGTAGCTGTTTGAACTTTAAAGCTTTTCAATTTCAAGTTTCAACCATTCTTATATAAACAAATATTCTATAATAAAAAAATAATAAACAACAGTTGACCTTAAACATATTACCTCCCCACTTGTTGAAGTATACATATTCAGGACTTTCTTTATGATGTTATAGGTACCATTGGAGAAATAATGTCCAATGCTCCAATCGGTATACAATCTCATAGAATGTATTACTAAAGTAAGCTTTTCAACCAAAAAATAACAATACAATAATATTTTTACTTTTTAACCAACTCGCCAACATATGAAAATAATTATGTGACACTAGTTTTAAATGCTTCATCGAAGTTTCTATGCTTAATTTAAGTTTCACGATTTAGATCCAGTAATACTAACGAATTCAATAATTTTTAATTAAATTACTTTTGTATATCTATAATTTATTACTATATTCCGTTACTGACACAGGTAAAATTTATAGATTATGGAAATAAATAATGCTATATAGTTGAGTATTTCACAAAAATAACACGTATTTTTATTGCATTATGATAATATAATGTATAATAGTTGATAATTAAATTGTTTCCACGTTAGGATAAATATCTATAAGACGTAATCTGATGTTTTTAACGATATTCAACCGTAGGAAACCAGAATTTTATCAAAATATTACTTATATTATATTTATGACGTAGATATAGGTACATGTTAAAGAGTATATCGGGTAAAATAATAATATAATAAACCGATCGCGCTCATAATTTTAATAATAATTTCGACTTTTTTTTTTTTTTACATTTTATAGGATGTGGTAAAACAACTTTGTTAAACTGTTTATCGGGCCGGACAAAGTTGGATTCGGGGTGCATACATCTGAACCGCGAACGTCTGAACAAGCGGTGTAAGCGGCGCATCTGTTACGTATTACAACAAGACATCTTCTTCCCGGACTTGACTATGAGACAGACTCTCGAGGTATGTGTTTGGGTGTTTAAGCGCGCGTAAAATGCAATTTGGAGACATTTGCGTTTACGAGTAACAATGACATATCGACACGGCGGCGACGATAATTATTTTGATAAAATATAACGTCGTCGCGCCGTATACCTATAATAACGAAATAATTATTGTCGTATAGTAACTAATGAGCGACGACTAATATTATAAATACTCTCTTTTTTTTTTTCTTTTTTTTCATATTCGCAATCGCAGTACGCGGCATTGCTGAGACTTCCCGATTCGTTATCTCACAGCCAGAAAATGCAGTACGTCGATCACATCATTGACGTGCTCGACCTGAACAACTGTCAAGACACAAGTATGTAAATCCGCGTCGTGTGTACGCTACTACCATTACGGGCGCCCCGGGTCCCCCGATTAATGGCGGCGGCGGCGGCGGCGGCGCGCGCACGCGCGTTATTATTTTAGCACGTAGATCGATATTATAAATCAGATTAGAATAATCGTTGGAAACGAATAACCAAACGATATTACGCGCGTACCTACGCCGCGCAACAAACGCGCACGCGGGGACCGCTGAACGCGAGTGCGCTTTGTTCGGTCGGGGCGCTGTATAGCAGCAATACGACGGCGGCGGTTGCATAACCGATCGAGAAATAAAACCGCATCGAAAATACAAAAAAAGCGAATAACAAGTGTGTACGAGTATTATACGCTAATCTATCGCAAAGGTTAGCCAAGGTTACCCTTAGCACTGCGCTATATTTATATATATATATATATAATATATAATATATATATAAATATACGTACGTACGTGTGTGTGTGTGTGTGTGTGTGTGTGTGTGCGCGCGATTGCCGCGCATTATCTACGCCTTTATTTTAAAATAAATAATATATAATATACGTGTGCACACGGTATGTGTAATCACTGTAATATAATGATGATGATGATGAATTATTACCCATATATTATGATAATATATTTTATGGTTTCCACGACAAAAAACCCGAACGTCTCCGACGTTCCAGCGATCGAACTTTCGCGCACGTCTGCCGCGTATTTTTAGTTTTCGAAACGTGCGCCCGCCCAGTAGTGCCTAACGATTTTGGCGAATCTCCGGGCAGTACGGCGTAAGCTCGGTAATACCGCGTCTTTTGTTTTCGTAGCCATATTATAATGCGTGTTGTGGTACGCGCGTTCCCGAGAATTTACGCGGCTTATCGGTAAAGAGTTTAGATGTTTTCTACGGAGATTCGTATTCGGTTTACCGTTTTCTCGTAAAATGAATAATTCACCGTCAATAAATTACCGCGCCTCGTCCGTATATGACGGTATATATATCGAGCACTGCAGGCAAAGACAATAATATAGAATAATAACGCTGATGCGGTAATATCAAATCGCCAGTTTCCTCGTTATCGTTACCAGATATTTTATTTTGTACATTTTTTCGACCAAAATCACTTTCAACATAATATTATGTTGAATTGCGTTTAACAGTAACATTAAAACTCTCTGCTGTTATTGATTAATATCATACAAAAACATTTACTAATTATTAAACTATTTATTCACATTATTTTGTTTTCAAACTTTATAATAAGCACATGTGAATTAACACCAAACTAATCTTACGCATGTACTTTGTTTGATTTTAGTTATCGGGGACTACATGAAACGCGGTTTGTCCGGGGGTGAAAAGAAACGAGCAAACATCGCTTGCGAACTCTTAACCAATCCCGCTCTAATGCTGCTAGATGTAAGTATAAGACTTGGTAGTCGAAAATCTACTAATTTGCGTTTAACTAAATTTTACTCACTATGTTAACATATAGGAACCCACGACTGGATTAGACTCTCATTCGGCTTACAAATTGATGTTATCGTTAAAGAAATACGCCGAAAAAGAAGGGAAAACTATTGTAGTTACTGTTCACCAACCGTCGTCGCAAATATTCCATATGTTTGACCAACTACTTTTAATCTGTAATGGGCAGGTACGACAATCTACAAAAAAAAAAAAATCAAAAATGTTTTTATTTTATACATTCTAAAACCATTTTCATGTTTAGACTGCATACTTTGGTGACATCAATAAAGTAGTAAATTTCTTTAGTAACATTGGAATGACGATAGCCCCACATTACAATCCAGCCGACTTCATTCGTAAGTTTTATTAAATATAGTGTTTAATTATCTATAGCCTATTATTTGTTAAGGTTATATTTTATTAAGACTGCGATACAATTTGTTTATAGTGGAACAAGTAAAAGGCACGGAAGAAATGAAACAGAAGATAATAACCGCCGCACAACAAGCCCAGGACGACTATTATCAACAAGAATTGTTACATTTGAACTGCACGTGTGACAAGTACCTAACTAACTATCGTCACAATCATAGCAATGGTATAATTATTATTTTTTATTGTAATGAACCTTATCGTAATTAAATACACACCAACAAATGTTAAAAAACTAGTATTCTATACCTAATGACATCTAATAATTTGCTTATGTACAGATAACTATCAATGGCCCATGAACGCTAACAATGGTCATATTTGTACAGCATTCAGCGATTCGTCTACAGACAGCAATGAAAAATGTTACACTACTATTAGAGGTATGTATAAAATTTAGTTTTCTCATGTAAACATACTTTTTATGATCGACATTGTTTGTTTAATTTTCGCATTTATTGCAGTTCATGAAGATGAGGCAAGAACTTTATGGCCCGATAGCCAGAGTCATTCTTCAACTTCTACATCCGATGAAGACTTCACTTGGCAATGGCCCACCAGTTTTTGGACACAGTTCAAGGTAACAACATATCATTAAATAGTATGAGTATAATAAGACACAAGATTTATATGGTATTTTATTGTTTAGGTTTTAAGTCAAAGAAACTTCCAAGAAGCCCGTCCTCAAATGTTGAGCACTTTGAATTGGGTGCAAACCATTGCACTTGGCTTATTAGCTGGTCTGCTGTGGTTTCAATTGCCTCGTACAGAAGAATCGCTACATAACATCCAGGGGTGGATGTTTTTTTCCACTACTTATTGGATGCTTTTTGCTCATTTTGGTACATTATCGTCTTGTAAGTACCTATACAATATAATCTAATAATACTCGTGCGAAACAACGAGAGTACATTTATAAATGTACATTATATTTTCATATACATATATAGTTATATTACTATGGCTGTACTCAGATCAATAATTGTGATTTTATTGTTTAATACAGTCCCTCCCGAAAGAGAAGTTATTAATAAAGAACGCCAGAGTGGAGCGTATCGTTTGAGCGCGTATTACCTGGCCAAAATGGTCGGCGAACTGCCGTTGACAATCACCTTGCCAGCTGTCTATCATCTGATCTCCTACCCAATGCTCGGCATGCATAGTTTTAGTACATTCTTCACCCTATTAATGTTTCTACTGTTAAATACCATTGTCGCTCAGGTAAATTCAATTAGAATACATTTGGTAGTGCTATTTATCTGATTACTAATAAAAATACTTTTCCATTTACAGAGCGTCGGATTTTTTGTGGGAGCGTTTTGCATGGACATGCAAGTCTCGATTACAATCAGCGCCTTGTACACACTGGCCACACAACTTTTTGGCGGCTACTTGGCGACAAATATTCCTAGCTGGTTGCAGTGGATGCAGTATCTCAGCATGGTGCATTACGCCTATCAAAATATGCAAATCGTCGAATTTAGCGACGGGGAACCAATCATGTAAGTGCCAACCATATATGCGCTTACCTATGTCTTATACGTAACTAATATAATACTCTGGTTTAATTTAATACCTACTCGTATATGTAATAATGCTAAAATCCACATATTATTGTGGGCGAGGGGAATTACTTTAATGAACCACAATGATGGAATTTCAATTTTTTTCAATTTTTTTTTAAAGTAGTTACATGAAATTTCTGAAAAATTAGTTTAATCAAAAATAACGACTTTCAGATTAAAATTTTATAACATGTTCTATTTCACTCCATTTGTTAAATAACTTAAAATAGGATTATAAAAATATAATAAATTATCTTGTTGTCTATAACTTCCCTGATGATAATTCTCAAACAAATAACATACAATTAATTAAAAAATCAAAATTCATAAAAAGTACGTTTTATAGCCATTTTAGATCTTATTTATACAATAAATAAGTATACCTAGTTTTTAATTGATGAGTAGATAACCTACAGGTATTGGTGGTTTATCTATACTTTATTTGTCGATAATTATTTTAATACCTACATAAATTTAATGTAGTTTGTATTTTGTGATATCAGCTTTTAACATTTGTGATATTTACCGAGATGTATAATTTGTATCTAATTATAAGTATATAATAAAATATAACTGATAATAAGTAAAATATTAATACAAGGTCAGTTTTAGTTCTCTTAGGACCCACTATATATCTATTAACACATATACTATAACTATAATAGCTATCTTATTTCTTTACTTACCTTTTTCTTATGTTATATATTATTAACGTAGTATGTTTTTCATACAGGTGCAGTGCAAAACAATCCAAGTATGCGGTATGTGAAAACTCTACTTTTATACCAGCGTTGGACATTGTAAATGCACAAGGTGCATCGTTCCCATTATGGCTGAACACAATGATACTGTTCGGCTTCCTTATCGTGTTCAGATTGTTAGGTTATCTAGTATTGCGTTTCATCCGAAAACCAAAGTGAATACCTAAACCGTTAATGGCTGTGAGCGATTAACATTTTTAATTATTAATCGTTTTATAAAAACATAAATATGGCTGTGTCATTTTAGACATTATAATATTTTTTATCTCGTTATAAATATTAAACTTAGAGACTCGTTTTTCAACTCGATAATACCCCGAACTCATTTCCTAACGCTAAAATTTGGTGCTTGTACCTATTTTGATCGGATTTCGGGAAAAGCGGTGTGAGATGTGTTATACGTATTTATATGTCGCATTGTTTTGATTTTTGTACTACATCGTAATAATGTTTTTAAATGTTGCATAAAAATTATTTTAAGACTTTAATTACCTATTTTTTTAATTTTTAAAAATTATTGTATAATTATTGTTTTACTAAGTTCGAACACACAGAATTTTTTGTCACTAATACCTCTGAGATGAAATTTTGTTATTCTGTTCGTACAGATATTTTGTTACTACTTAGATAATCACATTTTTAATTTTTACTTTAAAAATGCTTTATTAATTTTAATTGAATCACTATTCACCGTTATTTTATTTTATAGTGTATGAATTATTCATTTTTTTTTTTTTAACTATAAATATTGTATTTATTTTTTTTTGTTCTTATTTATTACCATTTAAGCGGTACAAAAAATGTTAATTTTGTTAATATATATATATATATTTTTTTTTTTTGTAATTTGATAGTTTTTGTAAGCAATAATAATTTCTAACTACAGTTTCTGTAATTTTTGACTGGCCTGTATAAAGTCATAATTGTTTTTATTGTAATACAATATAAAATTTCTATTATTGAAAAAAAACATACAATTAAAATGTTTTATTTGTATTTTTTTTTTATATATATTATATATATATATTAAATATTCATGTTGCTATTGAATATGATGCATTTGAATATTTAATAAAATTATTACTTCGATTATTTTATGTTTAAAACTGCCAGAATAAATATAATATACTCGAATGTTCCATATACCTATGTGTCATATAATTATATTTAATTAATATTTTATTTTATGAAGACAAAAAAATCATTTACGTATTATATTACTATTTATAATTTGAAAATTCATTGACATAATTCTTACTAAAACATGAATTATATGCGTATTAATACATGTGAGGCTTTGAGTAACATTAGCCACTGGAGTCCTAAAATGTTTGATAATGGGTTAGGCTACGAGCTTAATAATATACTAAAATTTTTGATATTTTATCAAAAATTACAAGTATATAATTAATACATATTTTTTATCACAGTTAAAACTAAAAAATATGAGCATATAATTTAACCAATAAAAACCAATGAAATAAACGATTTTAGAGAGGAAATACATTTTAATTTTTTTTTAAGTTTATTTATTTATACACTTTCTAAAGAGCTAATAACTATATTAAATATACAATAATATATACTTACGCTCTATATCATATTTGTATATTTTATTATAATTTATATGTTATTAAAGTTATAATAGCTATAACTCATGTATTACAATTAAAGCCAATTTCAAATAGTTTTAATATTTACTATATATAATAAATATTTATAAAATTAAGATTAACTACATAATACTTTATAGACATCACGCAAGTAAAAAAAAGTGAGTTAGTAAATAACAGTAAATTAGTACTTTTATTAAATAATTTAATTCACGATCTTTATTTAGAAATAAAGACAATTGTATTTACAATATTAATGATACAGTAATCTAATCAAAGAAGAAAAATAAAAAACATGTGGTTCACATAGTTAGAGTAAATATGTACATAATAGTACTAATAACATTATAGTAAGATACTAAAAATGCTCTTGTTATTTAACTTGACATGTATGGTACTCGGTTTTACTGGGTTATAAAAATGTATTATAGTTTGTGAGCATTTAGCGTATTAGTGATTAGTTTTATTCCATTTAAAAAGCTTATATAGATAAAAAGATAATCGTCAATAAGTATTTCTTTTAACATCTTACAGAATAGGTCAAAATTATTTATAGGATTAATAAATATTAATAGGAGTAGATGTTTTGGTAGTGATATTTATAAATTGATAATAGAATCCGATGTATTGGTAATTGATTTCAAAAACTCAGTTTACATAATTTCTATCTTTGTAGTTAACGAATTGAATAAAGTTTAACACTAAAATTGTTTAGCGAAGAGAATTTTTTTTGGTATTTGGCTACCGTAGTACGGATACTGTTAATTTTTTTTAACAAACCGTGTGTAGTAATGTCTGTATTAATGGCTGAAGAATTGTTATTATTATTTTGATCACTCTATATTTACATGTTTTTTGAATAATTAGTGGAGATACTGAAAGCGTGTTTCGAGGCAAAAAGATAATGTAATTTAACTTTCAGAGTAGACTTCGTGATTAAAGATAATAATAGAGCCATGTCGGAAAAAAAACACCGCCACCCAAATTTAAATTAATTAAAATTGATACTGTTTTCTTAATTTAGTAGATGCTACTTTAAAATTGCGACATATTAATACCTGTTTAAACTTTTATCGGTGTTAAGACGATTTCACTGATTTTTAAATGCAGGAAAAAAATTAACGGGTATTTAATATACAATTATTAGAATTATAAACAGAGAAAACTAAATGTAATAAAGCGTGATTAGCTGAATAATCTAACATTATCAGATTTATACTGTAAAAGAAATTTCAAGTTCAAATTTAGACAGTATTAGATATTTAAACGAAAAATAACGACGTTAGTTATTTTACTGCAATTCAATCACATTTTTCGTAGGGACTTGAAATTATTACTTACCTATATAATACATTTTACTGTAGGTAATTACAATTTCAAAATAATTAGTTAATTTTAAGTAACAACCTATTTATAGTATGAACATTAATAGCGATAATATATGATATAAATATATATATATGTACTATTATAATAATTAAATATTAATTATAAGAATAATGAAATGTTTTCGGTAAAAATTGAATCAACCGTAATACTAACAATAAGCTATTTCAATTACAATAATAAAAACATGTCATGAAATATATTAAGTGATATATGGAGCAATGTCAACGCTCCGAATCATTTTTCATATATATTTTAAAATTGTATATATCAATACAATATAATTGAATTAAAATTGAACATATTCATTACCTTAATCAATTCAACATTTACTGTATAGTAGAGCGATATCAAATTTAATATTTTTTTTATATAGCACCTTTTACTTTCACTTTTAAACACCACTAACGTCTAACCGTCTTCTAAATAAAGGTTATTTATATTATATTCACAGTATATACAGATGTGTAGTGTGAGGAAAGAATTAAATTTATTAAGTAAACATATGTCCGGAAACCAACATAAATAATTACTAAAAATCATAACGCGAGCACAGTGGTGGATTTGAGGGTTCAAATAAAGTCGGCAAATCCAAAAGAGGGGCCTCGTAAAAAATTTCAATAACATACTTACCCCTATATTACAAAACCGCTCGCGAAAACAATGCCCAACCAACATTTCTTTTATAAAATTAATAGAAAATTTTTTTTATTTTTTTTTTTATAAAATATGAACTCTACACAAAAAGTGTTTATTTATTTTTTAATAAAGGATAAAAAAGTACATATTTCTAGGTATGATTTGATTTTTTAAATTAATCGATCAATTAATAATAAAATAAAAAGTAAAGTATGAACGCCGCAGTGTAGGTACGAACTATATGTGCACCAACGACGAGTTAATGGTATACAACGTAGAAATATAAGTGAATATCAATTGGTGGTGTGGAGGTAACTACTCACTACCTCTATTTATAATAATATCAACAAAAAAATTTATATTTATTCTGCGGCGGAAACAATGTCCTAATCCGTTAAATGGTTATAATGTATAAACATATGCAATATGCAATTTTTACAAGGCTCTGTTTATCATATTTTTCAATATTATATACGTTGCGACTTGGCGAATTTATCGCGAAAACGATAATCAATAAATCATAATTTACGCGAAAGGGCCGCTGATTAAGTAATGAAAAGATCATTATACTTACAAAATTGTTGTTTTTATTTGTCATGCAATCTTGATTGCGTCTTCATGCGACTTGTCGTTACGTCGAATTAGAATCAAATGATTAAAATAATAGATTTTACTATTTTAGTAGTCACAAACACAAACGACTGTTGATACTTAATGGTTATTTTAGTTTCCGCGATAACAAAGTAGCTACCTACTTTGTATTGGTGTATTTTAATTTGTATTATATGGGAAAACCTATGCAGCGTAATTGATTACGTTATAACATCGATTATAATTATTATAAATAATATGATTTGTGATCAATGCCCATTAGCTACTACGTAGAAATGTAGAATGTTGAATTACTTATAATTACTTATTATTTTAATTTACGTATATAATGAAGTATTTCTAAATATTTAAATTATTTTATTAATAAAACAATAGTAAATTATATTCCAGTTTACAATATACATTTTCTTTTTTTTTTTGGTCAAAATTAAAAAAAATCAATTACATAATTTAGGAGGGCCTCAGTACACAATGAAGGAGAGGGCCCATCGGCATTTGCTGACTAAACGACTCATAAATCCGCCACTGCGCGTGCACTATTTAGTTAGTTTGTTTAATGAATAAATACCCACGAAAAATTATTCAAATTGAAAAAACAATTAATAAAACTCCGTACACTAGCAGAAATCATTAAAATATCTATATGATTTATAAGTTTAACACGGCGTATTATGTAGGCAATTTAGGCCCATCATCATGACTTAATGTTCACAAATCGTAATATTTTATCATATCTGTTATACAGATAAACCAAGCACTAACCATAGAAAACAAAATAATAATGTGTATAATTTTAAAGTCAACTTATGCTAAATCAGCTTATGATTTTTATAGGAACAGGGAAGATTTATAGTATTTTTCATCATGCGGCCACCTACAGATATTGGTTATTATAAAAATCATCTATAAGTAGTTAATTATAATTAACAAGTAAAAAGTTAATTTTTTTAATTTTCTCAACTCAAACAGTTAGTTTAAAAATAATAATAATAATTTTATAAAAATAATTTACTAGTTTAATACTATCATTTTTGTTATGTTTTCTACTAAAATAATTCTGTTATTATTTACATTGTTTATTTTTAAATATTTCTATTAGTAATACATATTACATACCTACAGTTTTATTATCCCCAAAAGTTTCATAACACCCACAATATCTCTGTAATAAATCAATATATTTAGATGTGTTTTTTTTTTTTTTTTTTGTAGCAATAAAAAAGAATATTCAAATTAAATGACAGAAGTTTCAGATTTCTTTTTTCAAAAAAAATTTATGCAGTCTAGTTATTTTAATTATTATGATAGCCGTTAGTTATATATTACGTTTAAAACGATTAAACATGATTTTAAACAAATTAAGTTTTTGATTTCGTGCGTAAGAATAATAGCTATAATAGCAAAACACAAATTGCATGCTTAATTAATTCCACAATTGAAAAGCGGATTTGTTTTAAAGTAAATTCGTCGTAAAAATAAATTTATCTTAAAATATTGGACACTGGGTTATTCTATGAAGTGATCAATTAAAATTATTAATGTTTTTTTTTTCATCTTTGCGTGATTTTTTCTTAGAACAATTTTTGATATTTTATAGAATTTAAAAAAATAAATAGAAATTGATCCTTAAAATTTTTACAATTTATTTATATTATCATTTTTATTATAATATGATGAAATTTTCAAAAAATTTTCTTTCTTTTTGAGTTATTTATAGGCATAAGAAATTTTCAATTTTTTGTTTCTATAAACATTAAAAAAAAAATTATTCGTGGAATCAAAATTTTTGAAAATTTAATCCAATATCCCCGATAAGTTGTTTTTTATTTTTTATTAATTGCTGTAAAAATATCGTAATAAAATATATTGATTTATCAAAAAAATACTTAAGGTTATACTGAACTTCTGGGACAAATATTGTACCCACTACTACAACACTAATGTCAGGTAAATATTTCAATAATTAGAAAACAATGGAAATTAACCTTTTTTGTGGTTGAAAATGGATAATAAAGGAAAATACTAACTCATTTTTAAAGAAAAATGAACCAATCTGAAATATATAAATCCCTGCCTGACTGCCAACCTATTTTTGGTTTTATTACCATTAATGATGATTACTTGTTAGTTTTTATAATTGTTATAGGTATTAAGTATGCTTATGGAGCAATGTGCCCTCCAATTGTTTTAAAAATCTACTATAAAAACTAAATTACAATCATAATAATAGGTAATGGTAATCAATAGTTCACACAATCAAATGTAAAATACTAAAATACCTATACCTAATTCGACCCATTATTAACATAATAAACGGCGCTTTGTGCAATATGCATTTCACAAATAAATCAAATCAAATAATACGTTTACAAAGACTTATAAACTACTTTTAAAAAGTATTCTAAATACCTCATTTTGTAATAATAATAAAAATAATATTTTAAATAATTTTAAGCAAACAAAATCAAATAAATAAAACATAGAATCTGTTAAAGATTCAATATAGTTTTATCGAGCCTCATACACAATATATAATGCACCACAATGGTGAAAATTATGTCACAAATGAAATACATTTACATTAAATAACTGAATATGTTACTCACAATCTTTTCGTTGAGGTCATGATGATTTATGTATTGATGAATAATAATGTATGTTACTGATACGGTGATCATTAACTGCTTAGTTTTTTGGTATAGGTATTGAATTACTAATTAATTATTTAAATGATGGCCGATAAAAGTTAAATAGATAATATACGTACCACGTAGGTATAATAAATACTAAATAGAATATTAATAATCACAAATTTGGTGGACTTATCACAAGTCAATTATTTGTGAGTTACGAACTGTAAACTATAATGAGTGTTAATACGTGTCATTTTATACTCTAGTTATAATTACTTTTATATTGAATCAGAACCAGAACATTATTATATTTAAATATTTTCATTAAATGATGTTTTCAAATCTTATTTTCCCTCGAAGAGTGCACATTATACAGTTTTGAGAACCAATGACTACAATATGATAAAAAAATACCTACCACGGTTGAAGTATTGATTGTAGTCCTTGAAAAGATATTTACATTCGGGAAAACTTTACAAGTGATAACAGGGATATCTGAAGTGATAACATCTAAAAGGCATTTAAATTTTTATTCCATAAGTTATAAAGTAAATCCAATTCAACTAAATGTAAAATACTAAATAAGTATATAAGTAATTAGTAATAAATAATATATTTATAAGTAATAATTTTGTCGGTAAGTATTTTTATGTTTAAACTCCTATTCATTAAGTACTTTTGTAGATTAATAATAAATAAATACATGGATTATGTTTAAATATTACTATTAATATAATTATAATATTACATAAGAGAATGTTCTATTTGTTATAGTTTATGAAATAAAAAAAGACATAAAATGTTATTTAATTGTTTGGCAAAACAAATTCGCACTCTCCCGTCAACATTCGCAGTGGCATGTCGGATGTCTACAGTGGCAGTAGAAAACGCCGACTTTAGTAAGTTTAATAGTTTTGTTCGTATATTTTTAAGATATACCAGTGTTTAATCAATTACAAATTCTCAGCCGAAGTCGAAGAACCACCAATGGTATACGGTGGATACACAAACTTACGCCAGGCATGGGTGTCTAATTTGGATACTATAAAGGAAAATCCTTCTACAATTATAGATTTGCATCCCCAAGTGTTTGGATCGAGACCAAGAATTGATATAATTCACGAAAATATTGTATGGCAAAGAAAATATAGATATGTTGTAAGTTTTTTTTTCTTTTATTTCATAAAATATTTTCCACTATACAAGTTTAAAAATCATTACCACAGAGTTACGCAAATACCAAAGTTACCGCTGAGGTATGCATGAGTAGTAAAAAACCTTGGCCACAAAAAGGTCAAGGACGTGCACGACATGGTACTAGACGTTCTCCGCTATTTAAAGGCGGATCTGTTATACACGGACCGCGTTCTCATACAACTCATTTTTATATGCTTCCATTCTACAAAAGAGTCTATGGACTTACTTCAACATTATCTGTTAAGCTAATTCAGGTATGTATGTTTTTGTCAAATTAATTTTCATATTTTGTTAACAAATGTTTTTATTCAGGATGATTTACACATAGTGAACAATTTAGATTTACCTACAGATGATCCAGGATACATGAATGATTTAGTTGATTCAAGATTATGGGGACCTTCAGTTCTATTTATTGACGAGTAACTATAATTATTGACTGATATTATTTTAGATTTAAAGAATTAGATATAAAATAATGATTTAATGATTTTATATACATTTTTATAGTACTGATACAATGCCAAGAAATATCAGTTTAGCATTGAACCAAATTAAACACATGAATCTTATGCCAGTTTATGGTAAGTTTTCTTAAATAAAATGTATAAATTACTTAACTCAAATCTACTTATTTATAATTATTTTAGGTTTAAATGTGTACAGTATGCTAAAACATGAAACCCTTGTTTTGACTGTTGCTGCAGTGAAAAAAATTCAGGAACGACTTCTTTACCAATTACATAGGCCTGATGGTCATCAAGCTACTAAGAAGTTTATGTTAAATAAGCAGCATTAATACAAATAATCTTGAAAATCTATTAAACTAGTTGTTTTTAGTAAACATTTTATCATTGTAAAGAAAAAATATTTCTGATTGAATACATTTTTCAAACTTTTCACTTATTAAATTTTGTTATAAAATTTGAAGAATGCTTTCTAGTTGACACAATATTTGATGAATTTATTTTTTACACAGTTACAAAGGCAAAAATGAGTACAAAAACCACAGAACTTCTTGTTTTTCACTATAAACTATTCAAAACACTAACTAGTAAACACAACCTAATAAATAATAACCTATTAAAAAATGTATTGAATATATTTTGATTTAGTGTTTTGTGTAGGTTTTATTCAATATTTTATTAAATGCAAAACCTTGATAAATTTAGTATATTATACTTACCTGGTTACATGCATGTGTAATATCTATATAGTAACTGCATTTTTATAATATCAAACATTTTAAAACTACAGAATATTTTTTAATTTCCAATTTTAAAGCCATAAGTATGCCACCACTCTAGTTTACTATTATGATTGTCTAGTAAAGACAATAAATGTTACACTATCTTAATGTTTTAAAATATTACTCTATGTTGGAACATGATCATTTAGTTTAGTTAATTTTTTTCTTTTGTACTCTTGTCTCACAAATTACCAATATGCTTAATTTGTGTTAAAAAACATACTTCACAGCTACAATTTATATTCGGGCACACTTGTCCGTCTACTGTTAACTCCGAACCTGATCCTCCGTTGGAACGTGAACTTTCAAATAAAAGGCCTAGACCATTATAACGATGGTAGGTAATCATACAAAACCAGCAACACAATTTTCTCTGATGTTAGGAAAGTTATATAAATTGAAATAGCAGGTTCAAAAGAAATGATTAGCAACAAACAAAATTAAAAAATTAAAATATTATTATTATCGCGATGTTCTGTCATTTTGACAAGTTAACGAAAACATAGAAGTATAAAAATATCGACTTAAAATACACTTAAACAACAAAATTAACATAATAGTCTACACAAATATCATACATGATTTAAGAATAAATCAACACTAATAATCAGATACATTGTATCGAGTGTCGCCGTCTTGTCGATAAGCTAATATAATATACCGATACGTTATAATATATTGTCAGACAAAATCACATTTGTGAACAGACAAATGCGTCCACGTCATCACGTCTTCGAGAACATGTTCAGAATAGCAGCACAAATCTTTTGGGGATTGGTCTCGTTCGGGTAGTACTGCATGGCTGCCGACACCTGTTCCTCGGGAAATATGGACGCCAGGTGGTAGTAAAGCTTTTGTCTGGCCTCGTGGTAACCGGGAAATATCTGCGGGTCCGAACAGCTGGCCGCCACCGTGTGCGGCGCCATGTTCATCGGCGGCTGCGGCATGGGCACGGGTGGAGCGGACGCTATTCGCGTCACGTTGCAGTGCTGGCTCTGCCGCAGATGCACCAGACGCGGGTCATAGGTCGGGTTCAGCGTGAGCTGCCGCTGCAACTTGTGGTGCAAGTTGCTGCAATCCGGGTCGGGCTCGGACGACTCGGCGGGCTTGCCCCTACCGCAATACACCGCGTTGTTTGAGCTCGGCGGTGGCGCCGACCACGCTCCGCCACCGCCGCCGCCACCACCCACCATCCAGTGAGGGTGGTGATGGGTTGTCGGGGTGGTCGTCGTAGTCGGTGGCGGGACGTTGGACAACGTCCGGGTCAACGGCTTTTTTTGGTTATTGGAGCCGGACTGCTGCAGTGGCAGACTGACCGACTTACCCTTGATCTGTCGGCCGGCCGAGCCCTGTCGCTGGGCGTGCTCCATCAACCGTTCGGTGACAGACTTGACGGGCTGCAGACCGCGCTCGGGGTGACTGAACTTGCATTTGTTACCGTACGTGCACTTCTTGCCGTACGGACAAGTCTCTGCACTGACGGCGGTCAGACCGACGCCTGGCGCTTTACTCCGGAGGAACACGTCGAGGGTAGGACCCGAACGGCCCAGCGGATCGTCTGGCGGCATGAACCTGTGAATAAAGCAAACGGTTAACATAATTTATGTTCGTCGAAAATCTTCAATCGTCAGATAACGTATCATTTGTCATTATTATTAGTTGCATACCTGTCATTAACGAAAGAATACATGAGTATATTGTTTTGCACGACCGAACGGAACGCCGGGCTCTCGTTGGCTAAATCTCGATAGTTGTCATTCGATACGACAACGCCGTCGAGTTCCGAAGCCAAACGCAGAATGTACCGATCATCGTAGCACACCATGCGCTTACCACCAATTTCTCTAGAAGGAGTGAAAACTAGCATCCTGGCGCGCTCTAATTCTGTTAGAATATCTTGATCTATATATAAACAGAAAAAAATTAATAAATCATCATATATAGGGTATAGGTCCTAAACACTGTTATACTAAACACTCTGGACTTCGAATTGTGTGATAACGAAAAGTAAATTTCTTTTTTTTCGAATATAACCGCTGTTTCTACTTCAAAAATATTAAACGATATAATGGGACTCTTTTTTGAAACCGAAATGACAATAATGACAAAGAATTATATTTTGGAATAGTTACATATATTATGTTATGTTTTAATCATTAATTAACAAATAACTAACATGATAACTGAAGTGAAAAATCTAAAATTATTACATAATTATAATACCAAGTTCTGTTATTTAACTATCAAATACAATATAATCGTCTATACATCTGTGTATAGGTAAAATCGATTTTTTTTAAACGCCCCTAAACTAATAACAATGTATAATGGGGCAGCATATGATTGATTGCAGGGGTATATTTTAGCTGCAGTTTGCCACTTACCGATAATCCTCCTATTGTCGGGCCTCGAAGCTTCTTTTCGCCACTTCGGCACAAACACCGTGATGTCTTTATGACCTCTCATCCGGAACCAATCGACACAGATTTTGATACCTCGACACGAGAACGTCTCTTTGTTTCCGTGACTAAAGAAATCATAAATAAAACTTTGTTATATTATTTTAGAAACTAGTAGAATTACGACCGAAGGCAACTATTATTTCTTTCATACCTCATAGCAACGTTGCTGCCATCGATGACGACATGCCGAAGTTTAGGCGCTTGCGGACTAAGTAGCGGATCGTTGATGTTATTCGATTGAGCTTCTTCACCGTCTGACTCGCAGTGCAATTTGTGACCACATTGCGCACCAAGCTTGATCAATTCCTAAACGAAGAGTTAACAGATTAAACATACGAAAAACTGCTGCAGGTATAAATATTGAGAAGGCGTGCATTTGAAGTGCTTTTGCAGTTTCGTATGCACTGTATATCGAGTATAATATTAAACATTTAAACGACCCCCAATTTAAAAATTCTTCATTTTTTTCAGACATAAAAACATATTTGTCTTGAGTACAAAAATACGCATAAGGTCAATTTATGTGCTTATGACCATAAAGCCTAAATACTTAGTTACAGGTTATTACTAAAAAAGTTGAAAACCGACGCACAATAAAAACTAAAATACCAACATCTTACACGTACAACAAAACAATATATATATATAGAAACGACTGATTCAGTCACACCCGCACTTAAAGAGTTTATGACGGAGATCATAATAATATATATTGTATGTAAGCTTACTGCTAATAGTTGATCCTGTGTAGGTTCAGGACCCAGCTTGCTGATTGCTGTCTGCACCAAACGTTCAGTGTAACCGAGCTTAAGCGCAAAGTCAACTCTCGATTTGTACGCGGCCGCACTCACGTAATCCGCGTACTCGGCACCGAGCGTGTCTGACGTAGTACGGCTGATGTCGTGATGGCCCCCAAAGTGCTGGCTGCCACTAGCGTCATCGTCGCCACCAAAGTCCGAGTCGTAGCTCGAATCGTCGTTGCTACACTCATCAAGTGTCTGCAGCTGCAGTTCGTCCAATGAGTCCACGTAACACTATAGAAACGAAAACAACTAAGTCAGTATATAGCAATTCACCGATAACATTATTTATTAAGTCTTAATATTGTTATGTTAAAGGTATATTCGATTTAAAACATGATCTATACCAAACACAATACTGTGTAATATATTGCAGAACTAATGGATAGTAACGCAAAAATATTGACATTAAGGACTTTCAACAGACCACAGCTGCTGATGGGTACCTGCACGCGCGAAAAACTAAAATTGTAGAAAAGTACTACCCCTTTATGCATTGGGATGGAACGATCGTTACAATATATTATATTGCAGCGGAGGCATAGATAGGAATTCTATTTCAATTACAAGTGAAAAAACCTATGATAGTAATTATTAAAAATTTAGTTATCTACATAAATTTTCAAAATAAAACTTAGGTTTTTACATTGGTAATACGTAGTATATTATATAAGTATTGTTAACCATCAAGTATATTAAACAAATACCGATTGTGTCCTAAGTTTTGTTGATGACACTTTACAGGTTTATTAAACAAAATCTTTTGCAATAAACCTAGCAACACGCGAGTTAAAAAAAAAAAAAAAAAAATCAAAAACACTGCAAACGATATCGAAATAATGAGAGGCGATAGGCAGACGAACAGGTGGTCGCGATCGGCGCATCCGGTTCGCGGCGAGACAAAAACCGGAGACCGTTAGTTACAAACAAAAACAAATCGCGAAAAAACGGAAGCAGACTGTTACAAGTGCAGGAGACGACGTCTCTCGGGGTACGTTGGGATGGAAACAAAACGCTGTCGTCAGACTTACCCGAAGTACACCGGTAAAAGTCATGGTTGCAAATCGGAAAAATCGGCGTAATGACGTGCGACGAGCTGTTGTGTGACGGTGCGCGACGCGAGATACTGCTGCACTACGCGACGGCCGACCGTGTACTGATGCGGCGGCGGCGCGCGGTGGCGGATCCGGATGAGCTCCGTGTCGTGGGGACTGCCGCCGCGCGATGGATCCGGGAGAAACAACACGACACTGACCCGAATCGTCGTCGTCGTCGTCGCCGCGCGCTCGCTCGCTTCCGGGAGTGAAGGTCTGCTGCGGCCGCCCACCGTCACGGGCGGTTACGAGCGTGCGGCGGTGGCGAGCGCACTTACACACGCGCGCGGGCGCAGAATATCATTACAAATATAAGCGCGAGCGCGCGCGCGTGTGTATGTGTGTGCGTGCGCGCGCGTGTCGGCGGCGTGCGATGTGCAACAGGTAGGTATGCGTAAAGTGAAAAAAAAAGGGTTAACGGACCCGAACGCCACCTCCGACGACGTTTTGGAGGGCGCGCGCGGGGTCAGGTCGTCGGTTACTATAATAATATCATATCGTATTACACATTATAATATCTACTACTAATGGGCGCGATAACAGCCAATACTTAAACCATATCGTAAAGGTGTATGGTGTATGTCTGCAGGAGAGGTACGTCGCACTTGTAGGAGTTGTCCAGTATTACACTAATGTCTATAAATACCGTTCTTGGATTCGACTTAAATTCGTTCGTTTTGCAAACATTCTGAGATAGTATACAGTTACAGGTGTTCGAGACGAATTTCGAAGGACATACAGTTATCCGCGGAACCGCAGTGTATAGTAAGTGTGCGAGTTTCGTCATCGCGGGGGTGCTAAAATTGTGCACACTTACAATTCGTACTTGAATACAATAATTGATAGTCAACAGTCAGTAGGTATATTATTTGCATACACATACATATTTTTATATGTATTATTGATATGTAATCACACTGGGGGCTCTTACCTATATACTTTTAATAAATAAATAATATACGTCATATAAATTGTTTAATATTATAATAATTAATTAATTAAATATTATAATTTATAATTAACGATGGTAACCACAAAATATCGATCTCTAATTCAATAACTTTTAGTTATGACCACGGTACAATTATTAAACTATTTTCTGAATATATGCATTATATTCGTGTTCATGTGCAAAATCGAATTCAAATTATGAATTTCTATAGACAACAGCATAATTTTTAGGATATTAAGTAAATAATATATCGTACAAGTCACAATACAGTAATTCGTTATTTGTAGGAAGTAGACGATATGCTTGGAGATTTTCAATTTTCAATTTATTTATAATTTAGCATGAAATACCTATTATTATTATGTTAAAGACAACAAACTTTAAAAAATATGAATACAATTGCTTGATAATGAGGTACTGCAGATAAAAAATTACATGAATATAATTTATATATTTATGTGTAAAGAACGTACCTATATACGAAATATAAATATACGCGATGTGTCCAGTAATAGACTGTCTGGTTTACTAGGATACGAGGATATACGTGTATTTTTACATTATATATCGTAATCGTAAACAAACAACAAAAGAAATTTTAATAAAAAAAATATGAAGCCCGTAATAGTCTCCCGTAAAAATAATATTTGACGGCATGTATCTAGAGTCAAACATAATATACAATATATGCGCATATAATGTTTATAGTCTGTATATCATTACTATAGACTTGATATGGATAATATTTTAAATCGATAACTAACTAAAACAGAAAAATTCTAAAAATATGAAAAACAAAATTTCGTATACTCGTAACTACTTTAAAACGTATTCGTAACTCAGCAGCATATTTTACTCCAATACCATAAATAAGCAATTGCTGTACTGTACAAAAGTACTACTGAGGTTAAAATTCTGAAGGGCACAAACTTCTAACTTAAAATAACTCGTATAAGAATACACCTCAGTCTCCCATTCTCACACATACCAACAAATATTTTGTTAGTTATTTTTTTGAGTGAAGTGAAAAACTAATAGGTTTTAACACCATGTTATATTATTTTTATACGTGCGATACTAATGTGATTTATGAGCTATTCATAAAAACAGATGACTCAAAATTTTAATACACCCATTTGCACAAATATTATCATACCTACTGTTTTTTGTTTTTTTTTAATTAAGTACTACTATATAGTATAAATATGTATTTATCTATAGCATAAAAACAGCTAACAAAATAAACCAGAAAACAAAATCGTATACTTTGGAAATTATTTTAAATCATTATATTTATAGATAACACCAAAAGCATATTTAAAACAATACAAAAATATTGTGTGTTTGATAAAGAAAACATTTTTTTTTTTTTTTTTTAATCCTTATACTGACATAGTTCAAATATTGCTTCTGTGTACCTACACAAGTCACCAATAAATTGAACATTGAATACATTCTTTCTCCACTTAAAAAATGATAAAATTATATTCAAGATATATTACCAAGGAAGAAAGTTTGAATTAATTGACCATCATCGGACATATAAAAGCAAAAATAACGATAATCATTATAATGACTATGACGGGGATTTAATTAACGAATTCTCTAATTAACAGTCAAAGTTTAATTTTTTTTCAACAGTACACAATAATTAGAAACTTTTTTATTTTACCACGAAAGATTATACATATACCCATTACCTATAATGTATTAATACATACATTTAATTTATTAAATAAACAAATTTTTGATTTTTCCGAAGAAAAAAGGAAAGCCATTAAAACATAATTATATAAGTACATAACAGATAAGACCTTGAGGAAGAGGGGCGTATATTGATTGCGCCGAAATAACCTTTTTACCTTTAAGAAATCTAACGATTGCGCCGACTATCGCCTCTGCCGAACTTTTTTACAAATTGATTCCGCTAACTATCAATCCACCGAATATTTATAAATTATTTATTTTAATAATAGCAAAATGTAAAATGCTTACATTTACATTTATGTTAATATTTTATTACATATAGGTACTATTTGAAATTTTGAAATACAAGCAATTTTTGACGATTATTTAAAAAAAAAAATGTTAGATTAACTCATTTAAAACTGGTATCAAACCACGATTTTAAAAAATAAATCAACATAAAATTTGTACTTAATTGTTTTTTTTTTTTGCCATAAATGTATACTTGTGTTATATTTTTCGTTGTGGACGAAAATAAATTATTTTTTGAAATGTTTTTATTTACTGTAACCTGAACTATTAATTAAAAAATATAATTTATATAACCAACATAAACAAATATTCGACGGAATCAATATAAACAAATATCAGGAGGAATTGATATTGAAACGGCGGAATCGATAAAACTCCAGGCAAAGAGCTGAGCCTGATTAGGAAATAAACAGCACTATATACTAGTGCCTAACCAAAGGCGCCAAAAAAAAGCAAGATGCGGCAATTCTATTGCCTTTGGCATTTTAAAATCAATCATGAGTTTTATTTTTCATATTAAATTAAGTAAAAATACTGAGGCTTGTCTAAAAAAACGTCAACGAATAACAGATGCCATGTATCTATTGTATCTTTATTAACGACTATAAATAGATTATAAACACATACAATTTCAAATGGTCCCCAGCAGCACGTATTTTACGTTGATTAGCAGGACGAAACGAAATTTATGTTTTGCCCGGTAAAGTGTACATTTTAAGACTACATCATCACGTGCGCAAGATATTCTCAGTGCACCAAAACTGCAGCAGATGCAACACAAATTATATAGGTAGAAGGTACAACACTATATATTATATCCGGGTGATATTTTTACAGTTAAATACACGATCCGATGTATACAATATATATGTAAGTGTATATGTATACATATACTTACTCGAGTTATAACTTATAAGTAATTGTATATATAAATATGTAGTTGTCTTTACAGCGCTGTAGTGTACTTACCATAATATGTTTACGACGTTTTTCCGCGACCATTGTTTATCTTTTAGACTATAACATTAACATGACCGTATAAATTAAACGTCACAGAAACTTAACAGCCACGTAATAATATAGTCTAAAATATAATAAGCGATAAAGTAATCTATTTTTAATGTGACACGTGACGTATCAACAAAAGTGATATTTCATAAATAATATTCACAACATAAGATTATTTTTTC